TGCTGGTTTCGCGCTGGTTGCCTCCTTTTGGAGACAGTGCGACGTCTTCTTTGCCAGCTTCTTGAGGCGTTTCCAGAGCGCTTGTTCAAGGCAGTCGCGCTTGTGGCTTGTTTCGGTGGGGAGATGTTGCGCGAAGTACTTCATGGTTGTTGTTCTAGTGGCGGTAGTTGGTATGGTGGTGGTGGTGGTGGTGGTTGCTGGATTGAATTTCTTTGGTCTGGTAATTTGAGTTGAGAAATATGAAAGATGTTTAGGAGGAGAAATGGGCCAGATTATATACTTATACTTGATGAAGTGCTGCCCACGCAGATGAAATCCATGTTGCGGAAGCGAGGTGTGTACCATGGTTGCTGAATATACCCAAGAACGCAGCGTACCGATGAACTACATCTATAGGCCAGAAAAAAGAATGGCAACGAACACTATCCATGGAAACCTCGGGTTACAGCACCACTTGTTTTTGCTACGATTGGTGTCTTTCTCCTTGATCATGATTGGCCCGATTCGGGCCATCCAAGGGCCTAATCCTATTTTGGAAATATTTGCTAGCGTCTGTAGATGCGACTAGCATTTGTAATACTCAGGATGCGTAAGAGAACATCGAGGAAGTATAAGTAGCGGTAGGAACTGCAGAGATGCATTGAGCAGAATAGGCCTTCCTACCATTCAATATCCGTTGACAATCTTCTACATTCAGTTCAAAGTCAGGACTTGTCATCAGTTCACCATGTCTACACACTCCGCCGTTGCAACAGTGGCCAAGAAGGCGCCTCTTGAGATTATCCAAGTTCCCACTACAACCCCGGAAGCGCAGCAGGTTCGCCTTCGAGTTGAGTGGACTGCCTCCACACCCCTCGATCTGCACCAAAACGACGGAGCCTTACTCGTAAAGCACCCTCAGGTCCTTGGTGACAGTGTGGCTGGTACCGTGGTCGAAGTAGGATCAGAAACCAAGCGACTGAGGATTGGAGACAAAGTGTTCGGCTTTACCTGGAAGACCCAAGCTCAAAAGGCCTATCAGGAATTCTGTACTACGGATGAATGGCTTCTGGCCAAGGTAAGCTGCTCCACATCTTGCCCATTTGTCAAGTGAATGCTGAAGTGTTGTAGCTACCCGAAGGCTTCACTCCAATGGAGGCTGTAACGCTTCCTAACAACTTCGTGACTGTGTTCCACTCTCTTACGACCGACCTGGGCCTCGCAACACCCTGGCCGAAACCGGAGAATTATTTAGCTGAGAACGCCAATTCTGCGATATTGGTCTGGGGTGGCTCCTCGTCAGTGGGTCAATTCGCGATCCAAATTCTGCGCTACTACGGTTACAAGAACATTCTGGCGACAGCGTCTCAGAAACACCACGAGAAGCTACGCATCCTTGGCGCGCACGAGGTGTTCGACTACAATAATCCAGATGTCGTCGAGTCTATCCTGAAGTCTGGTGGTGACCGCGGAGTCCCATTGGTCTATGACTGCATCGGCAGCCTGAAGGGTAGCATCGCACCGATCGCCAAACTTGCGAAGAAGGGTTCAAAAGTCGCCATACTACTACCCGTGGTTGTGCGCGATTCGACCGAGACCGAGGACCCAGAGTATGAGATGGATGTGAGCAAAGTGGCTGACTGGAATGACGGGGTCGATGTGAGAGGCGTGCGAACACATTTCTACCAAGACGTGAGTCATCCTGGTTTCTTATCAGAGTACCGCAGCTAACACTCCATAGAATGAGTTCTTCAAATGTCATCTTCAGCCCGACGTCATGCCGACTATGTTGAAGGATGGAGTTGTGACGCCGCAAAAGCAAAGGATCGTTGAGGGCGCGACGCTGCTGGAGAGGGCGCAGAAGGCGATGGACATGCTGAGACGCAAAGAAGCGAGTATGGAGCGTCTTGTCTGGCGGGTCAGCGACGCATAGTTAGTACAGTAATTGACCGTTGCCATATCTGTTGTGAACCTGCATGTATAGTGATGAAGGTGAAAAGACAGCGGAATAGTTGACGCGCAACCTTGGAAGCGCTGGACCAAAACGAGCCGCTAGCGCGCCTTGGACATTCAACTGCGCCCGGGCATCTCAGCCCCGAACACCAGTCACAAAAACATGAACGAGTAAACAATCATCAATGCGCATCGCAACCAGACCCTGGGCTGTGTCTTTCCCGCTGCATGTTCTTCACTCCACGTTGATCGTATGCCTCAGCATCGCTGTGACCACCAGTCGTTGTCCAGGTCTGTACAAGTATATGCGGAAGCTAATCGAACCCGCGCGATGATCGCTACACTACACACATTCGGACGGAAGCTGAGGGTATACTCGAAGACCCAAGGCTATAATGAGTATGGCTAAGCTTTCCCGGCAACGGTGTCCCCCATGTCTTTGGAAAATCTACGAGAAGACAAGAATGTCAACCAGTAAATGGCAAAGGCCGTAGCCTTGATGGCGAGGAGTAGCACATGGCTGACCGCGTGTAAGACGTTCGCATTGGCAGCTACTCTGTATCAAACACTAGATCAAGCGACCTTCTTTGCGGCATCCGCTCCATCCGTAGCAGTACTCTTACACAGCCATACTGTGCGGTAAACGCTATTCCAAAGTAATGTGGCGCCGTTTAATCACCGCAAAGTGATTCGGTCTCCGGCGCCGCGAAAAGGCAAGAGGGATGCATGGGAAGGACCCAGATCTGCTATGCAATGCATGCGAGCACTTCGCATCGACCAGACACACACAGCACTGATACCTGGACCGGACATCGATCTCCACTCATTGAGCTTTTCATAACCTCGGAGATAAACTCGTGGTGTTGAAGAAGGATCGAGGCGACTCAGCATCATCGCACGCGAGATTGAGCGGCTCCACCAATTTCCGAGGGCTAGCGCACACCGAAGCCGCCTTCCGATCAAGCCACTGCCACCGGTTCAGTCTGATTTCATCCAACGCAGGACAACAACTCTTCGAATTCTTCATATGGCGTTCAATGCATCGCAGAAAAGGTAGCGCGCGGTATCGATACACATGACGCAGTTGAAGATCCTGCAATATGGCCGACCAGGTCGGTGGGGAGCGCCACAATCGCATGCATTAAGCCTCGGAGAACCTGAAACCCACCGTACGCTCGCGACCGTTTCAACCCAGGATCATGGGCGCTTCTACCAGGTAGGACGGTTCGTCTATACTGCCGTCTAGGGTTAGACATTTACGCGAACCGGTTGGTTTCCTGTCAACAGGCATGGTGGCCGCTGTCGCGGGAACATGTTTGCTTGGCCTGCAGTATCGAACGGCACCCTGCGATCTTAGTCACGACATGGCTTCCTGTGACTGGTGGATGAACCGGTTCAAGCATGACAAGAGGACCCACGCCACGTCTGACATCTCAGGAACAGGCAGGGCGTGGGAGTCGTTTGAATCGGGGGCACAGTAAGCGCTGTTCGAGGCTGCAATCCATCGGTCACTTGTTTCGCATGTTTAATGACACGGCCCACAGATTGAGTGGCGAACAGGAATAGTGCCATGCCGCCGTATCGTATATAGGTATCTTGGTACTCTTGGGTTTCCTCCATCAAACAACAGTTTCTTCACTTCCAACCACAGCTTCTTTGTGCATCTTAGGTCCGAGACCTCACGTTCTTTTCAACACCACATTCATTCATCACACTCGTTCACGAAGCTAGTCTTCCGTCGATCTACAGCAACTCTCGCTCTTCTCAAACAACCCAACAACAATCACAATGAAGTCCTACACTGTCGCCGCCGCCATTGCCGGCTTTGCCTCCTCCGTCGCCGCCCACGGCTTCATCAGCGAGCCCGCTCCTCGTATGCCCGGCGATGGCCTCAAGGCTGCCTGTGGTGACCAGTTCTACAACACCCAGTCCTCCGACCACTACGGAAATGTCCAGGGTGCTCTCCAGAACCTTGGACAGGGTGACCACCCCGACTGCCGCCCGTGGCAGTGCAAGGGTGTGCCATTCACCGATGCTGGCGAGATCTTCGAGTACACCCCCGGTCAAGTCATCCCCATGAAGGTTGAGATCCGCGCTCCTCACGACGGTGTTGCCAACGTTTCCATCGTCAACATCGCTACCGACAAGGTCATTGGCGAGCCCCTCATCAGCTGGGACGAGTACGCTCTCACCTCCTCTCCCATGTCTGCTCACCCTGACTGGACCTCGTTCGACATCACCATGCCCGATGTCAGCAAGGAGTGCGCCAACAAGGGTGACTGTGTTATTCAGTGGTTCTGGGACGCTCCCAAGATCGACCAGACCTACGAGTCCTGCATTGACTTCACCATGGGTGGTGGCTCTGGCTCCGGCAACGGCTCTGCCCCCGCGCCCTCAGCTTCTCCCAAGCCCAGCGCTCCTGCCGCTTCCGCCCCGGCTGCCAGCTCTGCTGCTCCCTCCAGCACCGTCCCTGAGGCCACTCCCACTCCTACTGCCGCTGAGGAGGCCGCTACCCCTGTCGCCACCGGTGGTTCCGACTCTGGCTCCGACTCTGACCTCCCAAAGACCTTCACCATGGACACCTTCATCACCTGGCTCCGCGCCAACGCTGGCACCGGTGTCGCTGACAAGGTTCGCCGCATGGTAGCTGCCCAGCGCGCTCACCCCCGTGCTTTCCGCGTCTAAATCGCTTAGACGGATGCTTTGTACGATAGGTACGACATACAAAACTTCTTGTGTAGGAAGGAGAAGATGGCTAGAGTTACTGTTCGATTCTGTTGTAAATATACAATTCAATGATGCACATATTTGCTCGCCTTGCGCGGCGCTGTAAACCTTGTCGAACCATGTTGCTTGTGATGTATCTGCCCTTATTACATCTCTTATTCACCTTTGAAGATTTATTAGTATCGGTGACGCGTTGGATCTATGCAGCTTCGCAAATGGTGATAACATTGACGACTTGGCTGCTTTGTCCTTAGGTTGGACATCAAAGCTATTGCAATCATACCGTATACCAATGATTTGTTGGGCCTAAACCCAAGTACCATTAATCACCACCCGTTCATCTAATAGCCTCCACCTCCATGACCCCAGTGATCGCGGCGCGGGTCGTAGCCGTACCCATACCCTCCGTTACCTTGACCGTACCCCGGATAACCCTGGCCCCCATTGCCATGATAGCCCTCGAACTCATTCTCCTGGTTCTCAGAGCGACGAGATGGTAGTCGAGGATTTCGTCGAGAAGGTGCGTTGCCATATCCAGGTTGTCCAGGATACGCACCAAGGTCTTGAAGGCCCGCGCGTCTAAACTGGTGTCTTAGTCTTTCCATGGTGTCAACGTAGGCTCCGTCAGCCGCGGTTGTCCATTGCTGCGCCGCAGATGTCCACCCTTCTATCTCCCTCTGACGCTCGATTCGTCTTCTTACGCGGTACGCTTCATCTTCACCGTCCACGGCTATACCTCTGCTTTGCCCATCGTATCCTCTACCGTTTGTGCCGTCGTGTCGCCCATTCATCCGACTGTGTCCTCCATTGACAGAACCTCTACCCGCACCTCCAAAACCGCCCATTCCCATCTGCCCTTGAATTCTCCTCGCCATCTCCTCATCCCTCCCCGTATCGACCTCCACTGGCAGACTCTCCTGCAGCCTCCTCGCCATCTCCTCATCTTGACTTGTATCCATGATGACACGCCGAGGTATGGAGACTTGGCCGTCGTAGTTATCGAAGAAACGTTGCATGAAAGCTGCTTTGTCTTTCTCGTTGCGTACTTGAAGGAAGGCGCGGTGAAAGGTTGCTTGTGCAGCGGGCGTGGGGAAGTCAAAGCGGAGGATGGGCGCGGTGAGGTCGAAGTTTTGGAGAGTGTGGGGAGAAGATGTTATCAGACCGGGAGCTTGTGGCTGAGCTTGTGGCTGACGAGGAGTGTTGGTGGGATTACTCATTTTGGTACTCGTGTGTGTTGTTGGTATAGGGTTGTTGTAAGCGCGGTTGGGCGATGTTGCTCTGCTGTGCGTAGTAATGAGAAAGAGTGCGTAGGAAGAACAGGTGAAGAGAAGGTACTTGACGCTAACCAGCAGGGTGAAGAGCTTCGCCAGCTGATGTATCATGTGAGTACAGTGTCAATGGTTTGGGTTTCACCACGTGTGCTGATACGCGAGCATCTTTCACACCTACGAGACGAAGATCGGGGATGTTTATGTTCGCAGCCCGTCTCACTATCACCGCGACCGGAAGCAGATACGGCGCAAACACGCGTACAGACTTCTTACAACATGTCAAGTCCCCTCTGTCACTATTTCTTTCATCACTTTCATCAGAAAGGATCATGAGCCCCATGTTTTTTCCACATATTTCCTACAATGCCGACGTTTGGCAGATTGATAGGTATTGACAAGATCTCATCTTCTTCCTGACTCGAGCAGCATAGCAGCCACAAAACTTTCGACGAGAATGTGACCAGAAATAGTTTGAGATCCACATGAAGATGGACACATCTATATTATTGTCACCATGCGCTTTTCTCGTGGGAATAGATTCCATACATCCTCCATAGGATCCTTAATGCCGACGTCGCGCGTGAGCCCTACACGCTGGAATCCATCTTTACCCGACTCTAGTCGCCGAAGGACAAGTGAGGTACGCTGATTTTCGTGTTCAGATATCAAGACGCATACTGTCTCTACAGGTACAGCCTCTGTACTGTGCATTGACGTGATTTCGTCCATGGCATCGATGTTAACCCACCTCTCTTGGCCATTAGGATGGGCGACGTAGTAGTGCATCTTACCGCACTTGCATTCTTCGGACTCCGCTACCCATGTAACCGACGCACAATGGGCGAGTAAGCGGATTGTACCTGACTGAAGCTCGCCATACTCGTCTGTAGTCTTTGGGACTATCTTGTAGTCGATTAATCGGGCTGATACCGCATGCCGCATCGATGTTTCGTTTCTATGGAAGGCGCCGACGGGACCGAGCGGAGCCTCTATAGAAGCCCAGGACCATGAAGGCGCTCTTCATTTCGGTCTTGGATACACGTCAAAGTGTGTTGAAACTTGCCATTGGAGGTCTTCAAGGATCCGACTTTTCCAGAGCCCTGCTAGATATTGGTCGCCAGGCTCTGCGAGTTGCTTCGCAAGTCCCGCTAAAGTCACCAGCTTGTCACTTGGATAGGTCAATTGCATCCAACTGTGTTGCCTTAGCATACTGTGCCATATCTCCCCGGCGGATTGGCGAAGTAATGTCCTCGAAAGCAGATATAACTTCGGTTCCTTGATAGCAGTTGTCCAGTTCGTAGTTCGGTCGTCAGAACACTCGCATCGAAGCTCTTCCATGCATTCGAAGGTCAGCTCGCTGCGTCCAAAATGTAGAACACGGGGAGATAGTAGGCGCTCTTGAAAAGCCCAAGCCCGATTCAGAAGGGGATATTGCCTCGCGCGATGCCCCGGACGTATTTGTCCGGCGAAATGTACTCGCTCGGCACTGAAGATGAATGTGGTCGGTTCCTCGTTCCCCGAACGGATGCAGATCTCATAATCGAGCCATCTTCTAAACAGGCCTTCTTCGCCCGACTGCGAAGATGTCGCTGAGATAGTAATCAGCGCGTTCTGGTACACGGTTGACATGCGAGAAGCTTCTTGTGCCCAATCGTCATAATCGTCTTGCACTATACAAAGTGAATCAATCTGTAATATCAGCAAATGTAGCTAATGAGTGGGCAGAACATTGATCATGAACGAGGCTCTTACCCAAAGATACCGAATGTTCAACGCCCGAGTTACCTGGACGGCTTCTCGAAACGTGTTTGTCAACTGTCCGAGACGAATCATCTCTTTTCTATCAAGGATTGTGGCTCTCGTAGTTGTAAATTGTGCAATAGTGCCCCAACAATGACTAAGAGCGGCGTACGTTCCATTTTCGCCAGCGGTTTCAACTAGTTGAACGAAGTCGGCATCATGCGAACCTAGATCAAGCAGCCGGGTTGGTAGACGCTGGTGCTCATCGCTACTACAGGCTGTGTGCTTTGTGATACAATTCCGCAGCAATGTGCTCGCTTTCTGGAACGCAGCAGCCGACCCAGTGAAGCCAGTCGAGCGGCGCAAGGCACCGAAGCGGCTCCAATAAATGGCGTTTGGTATTGCTGGAGTAGTTAGTCCTCGGTTGCCATCAACATATAGATGCTACGAACAATCGGGAGCAAAAATTCTTATATTTAAGGACATTGACGCGAAATTCATCTCGACACTTCGCTGAGCGTGCATTGCCAGGGATGTCGTTTCCTTGTCAGAATCATTGTATCTGTAGTCCACCTCGCCACTCATGTATGGTTCCAGGAATTGATCGTGCAATTTGTCATCTCTGAAATGCAGGAGCAGGCTCTTTGGAGTCCAGTCCTGTTTGCCATCTTCATCCAGCCAGCCACGACAGCCTCTGATGATTGCGTCGCAATAGACACATGTTTGGGCTGATTCAACGACCGCGTCCCAGGTATGTTCGGATATGACATAATAAACGTGTAGGTATCCGAAGGAATGACAGATGAGACACCGCCCGTTGTGCAAAGATGGGTGCGGAGGAGGCAAGGTACCTATGACGTCAAGTGGGGCGGGGCGCCACGAAGAAGGCATGTTGACGTTGGTGCTTTGCCAAACCTGGAACGCAGTACAAGAGAAGCTCTTGCACAGTACGGCGCGAAGCAGTTTCTATAAGGATCGTGAGGTGCAGCGCATACTATGTACTGTGCCACAGACCTGCAGCCCCCGAGAAAATCTCACCGTAGTACTTCCGGTTGAGCAAGTGGAACCTCACACCCATTGGCTGCAACGCTGAATCTCGAAAACAAGCTACATAGGCATGCTGGGTAACGAACAGCTACTGTCGCTTCCTGCGCTCATTCAGTATGCGATGAGACAGCTCGCCACCCCACTAACAACCTCCTAACCCTGATCATCATCACGGCCCGTCTACCGGCGATCCCTGTCATCCCTTTCACGCGCCCTTACCGCAACCTTACTATAATACTCCAGCATCGCCAACGTCTCCGCCCGATTCCTACGAATATGTTCGCGAAGCTCTGCCTCAGTCATACGAGCTCTCACCGGCCTAAGCGCTACCAGCTCGTCGCCCCCACCACCCCGTAGATTAACCTTAACATGCTGCCACTCCCGCTCTTCCGCATCAGACACGACTTCCCAGGAAGAATTCCGACTGCGATCTACCAACACAAAGGTATGTTCATCTGGAGGAGTTCCTTGTTCGTCCGCAGCCTGAGGTAGTCTGAAATCATCTGGAATCCAAGGGTCTTGGTGCGATGGGGCGTTTTCGGTGATGGCTGGTTCTTGCACTGGTACTGGCCTGTCGGGCGTGAAGTCTTCGTATTGCGATCTTCGGGTCAGAAGCTGACGAAGATATTCGCGGTGGATGAGATCGTCTTCGTTGACGCGGCGTCTTTCGATTCTTGAGCTGCGGCGTGGATCAGGCATATACACTCCTTGTTCAATCGGTGGCGGAGAGGTCGGGCGGGCGACTTGGCGTCTTCGTACAGAAGACGTTGCCGAGTCGGGGCTGGTAACCACGAAGCTAGGCAGCGGTGAGGTATGCTGGGCTTCTCGATGTGCTATAAGATGATTTTGAAGACATGCTCGCTCCAGTCGTTCACGCGAAGTTGTGCTATCATTGTAGGTCGGAAGAGGATTGGCATGCGCTCTTGGTCTCGGCTGCTCAGTCATGAGAAAGTACAGCGAGATGAAAAGAGGCACGAAGATAGGTAGAGTTAGCAGTAGTAAGTCAAGCCAAGACTGGTCTTCGAAGTAATGGATAGCCATGATCGTAGCAGAAGAAGCAGTAGGGAAGAATGACTGATGCGGCGGGCACATATACTGTACGAGAGGTGTTCGTTCGTTCGGTGTTTGCTGGGCTTGAACAGCTCCTCCTCATAGCACGGAGAAGACGTTTCGTTCGTACGCGTTTGCTACTCGCTGTCAGTGCTAGTTCGAACGAGAGAGGACTGGAACTCGTATGAGTCTGTTCGAGCAACACGGACAGCCACGACCGTGAAGCTGTCTGCGATGTTTTGCTGTGCCAGCATAGTAGTGTTGGATGCAATCAATACTTGATGATATCTCTCGATCATCATTCGGGTGGTGACGGTGCTCAGAAGATACGCAGTCATTAATACCACGCTTGCGCTATGGACAGACCGGTGCGAGCATCAACCCTAATGCAATGGGTAATGATCCAATCCAAGCATCAACTCATCACAGCGATCAATGAATCAATCCACCAAACTAATCATCATCCATATCCAACCCACTCATCCCCTCACTCAACCCACTGATATCGCCCAAGCTCAAATCCTCCACCTCGCTGTCCCCCAAAAAGATGCGTTCAAAGTTCATGTCACCCACATCGCTGATGGGCGCGTACGTGGGATCCGTCATCCTGCGTTTAGCAGCCGCCTCGAACTCGCGATAGTTCTTCTGGATCTCGGCTTGGGAAAGCTCGTTCGAATGACGGTGCCGCTTTGCGCTATCACCATGATTGCGCTGCTGAGCACCGAGACCGCTGGTATTGGTGGCAGAGTTTGAAGACATACTGCCGCTCTCTTCAGATTCGCTGGTGAGACAGATTGGCGAAGGTGATCGGGGGAGCAGTGAGTCGTGTTGTTCCATCGGAGGCGTAGGAGGGAGAACGACTGTCTTTCCCTTCTCAATATGGGATTTCTGCCAGTCTTCACCCTGTGGCTGCGGTAACTTGGTGGTAGATACTGTCGGATCCGAGGGGCCTAGCGGGCCGACTGCTTCCATTAAACGACGCACAATATCGTCACTATCCCGCGACACATCGCAATCATTGTCTTTCATAGGTTGACCAGCCGGTTCGAATCGTTTGTGCATAGCGTTAACGGCTTGTACGATAGCAGGCCACTTCTTCTGCAGTTCGA